ACACACACACACATTAAAAATACGTCCTTCATATCATTTTTTACATTTATTCATTCTACTGTAATGAATTTTAGTCAAATGAAAAATTTTTTTTGTCTTTTTATTTGTCTTAATATAAAACACGTACAAAGTACGATTTGAATTTTATATTTGATTTTTGTATCATTATTTTAATTTATATGTATACATATATATAGATACAGATTAAGCGCTGACCGCGTGCTCGCATATATCGATACTATATATCACATAATTTATAGAATATACATATTACATATTGTATATTATATAATTATATTCTGTTCAATGATAACAAGTTTTTCATTATATATAACAAATATTTCATTATATATTATCTATCTTATTTATTAATTATATCTTTTCTTTCAGCTGTTATCATTATCAGGAACAGAATGGTATTCTTGATAACGTGTTTGAAATGATATTTCATTGTTTAATAACTTGAAATTATTATCTTTATAAGCAGCTCTTCAAAGTATACTCTTTCATACGTCTCTGTTTTGTATCACAAGATTGATTTAATATAAATTTTATTGGTAATAAATTATTAAATTTCAAGACCAGGTATTGATGAACATTTTATACAAATTATTATATGTATATTAATTTTTATTCCTCCTTATAACAATAACTAACACTTGTCAAATATTGTAACTTTTAATTTATACAATTCAATATTTAGTTTTTTAACAAATTTTGAATTATGATTGAAATTTTTAGTGTACTGATTAAATTGTTGATATTAACAACATTTATAAATCTTAAAAAATGGTAATATATAATTTATATTTAGATATTATATTTATTTTTGTTGAAACTAATATGAATCTAATTCAAATGAAAAATAATTTATTAAACTGTATATGTTATTAAATTTGCTTACACAGCTTTTATCTGTTTTAATGTTTTTGTCTTATTATTTGTATGCTTCAATTTACTTAATATCATCACAAACTGGACAAAAGATATAATATGTTAAACAAACAAATAATATATATTAAATGTTATGAGTTAAATTTTAGCTGTGTAATGTATAAATTTTTGTTATTTCATAGAATCAGTGGTATCGCCAGTAATTCAAACGCAGTGTAAAGTGACAAAACTATTGCTATAAAAAAGCAGAGACATGGTTGTTTCTTTATTTAATATTCTTTTCCACATGAACTTTTCCTGGCTGTCGGAGACTCTCGCTCTGCTGAGCAGTTGGGGAAGTTTCTCTGGGATTGTTTGTTGTTTTCGGCCACCTACAGCACAGCTTATTGTCCGGCAGAGGGGAGTAGCAACTGAGCTGACCAATGCCATCCCAGCGGCGATTTCTGCAACGGAAAACTTGGAGCGTGCAATGAGCCCGCACTTACCACCAGGGGATCACCTGTGTACCACGCTAGTGTCTCCCCAGTTCTCCCAGGCGCTATCAATGTTCTGGTCTGCTTTGCAGTCAGGCCAGGCGGGACCTGTCATCCGTCAATTTGGCTTGGGTCCAGATGCTGTCAATGCTGCAGCCAGTGGAAACATTGAAGAATTCGTCACTGCTCTCGAGTCTGAAGCTAAGAGTGGCCAAGAACAAACACAGCAAGGACAGGAGGACAAAAGTACTAAACAAGCACCACCAACATCTAGTCCTGATAAGAAAGGTGATGATGATGAAGGATTGGATTTAGATTAAAAATAGAGTTTACAAATATTTTCATTTAGAAGATACACAATATGTATTACATTATAATCGCCTATGTGTAATAAATAATTCTTTAAAAAATAATGTACTTTGTTATGATATAATGATATTTGCATATATCCTTCTTATTGTACATATATCAAGTTTTTGAAATATTAATTTCAATAAAATTTGTATAATAAAATATCAATAAATAAATCAAAATTACTAAAAAAATTATCCCAAAATTAAGTTTCTCAATTGTATTTACCTGATATATAGTTTATTAATATTTGTATATATAGTATATTGATATTTCTAGCTATAATTTTTAACTTTTATAGTTTTTAAATGTGTACCAATATTTGAGATAATATTAATCACTTGAAGATAAAAAAAATATAAGAAGATTAACTTACAAAATTTATATAATAATTTGTATCCTACAAATTCAAATTTTGACATTTCATTTAAATTATTTTAGGAAATTTAAATTTTTTGTTTATAATTAGTTGAACGTATATTATATATTTCTCAATTAAATATCGAGTAACTTACAACGAATATTTTGAAAAACAAATTTAAAAAGAGAAAATTTCAACTTGTATACATTTATATATAATTTTCAATTTCCTGAATAACATACCGCGGGAATATAATTAACCAATAGAAAGACGCTATTTACGACGCACAAACATGTTATTGGCCAACACCGATAATCGATATAGAAAATTAAACATAGTCGTTCTATCATGTTCTATGTAAAATTGCGCAACTTGCATAAAGAAATGATTATTACGTAAATTCAGTCTTTTTACTTAATTCTTTAGGTATTTAATACAGTTATATTTTATTGCTATCATATATTAACAAATTTGTTCCTTATATTTAAAAAATTATTACGGCCTATATATAACCTGTGTTGCTAGACATTTGTATGGTTAATTCGCAAAGTTTCTCATTGGTCTGCCGATTATGACATCATCCAGGGTCGGCTCAAAACAAGAAATCATACATTTGAAAGCACTTCTTTTATATTTTATTTAAAAATAGCTACAACTTGAAAAATAAAAAGCTACAAGTATTTCCAATTGTAAAAATATTGTAATATCTGGATTACGTAATTTTTAACGCACAATTTCTTAATAAAATTAAATTAAAGTAAAATTACATTTCGGCGACATTAAGTTAAATATTTCACTGACAATTCTTCAAACATTCAATTTACACAAAAATAAAAGATCTTTTATTATTTTTCCTGGGAATAGTCGTACGTTATCCAAAAACGTTCAATTGCTCATTATATTCAAAAACACTTATTTACACCGCGTACCGCATTAAATTAAAAATAAAAAGTATTTGATGTTAAATTTCCTATTGTATGAACTGTTGCGACGCGTATGAATTGCATATGGTTTTAATGCACATAGCAGGTAAGTAAATTTAAATGCTATCATGTGTACATCATTGTTTGTAAACAAGTCCATGAGACAATGATACCTCATTCTATTTACTTGTTACAATCCTGACCACATGAGCATTCGCAATAACTGGTGAATCGAACAAGTAGTGGGGTCCTTCTCGCGGATGTTGATTACTTGCTTTTGTGAGTGTCGTCGAAAGTAACCCGGTGAATTTCTGAAAAAACGTACGGCGCTCGTTGCGCGTGAAATCCAAAAGTGCATCGAAATACACCGCGGCCAAAAGTTGCCGTGCATCGGCAACGGTGTCATTGAAAAATAAGTGCGAGTATCGCGATAAAATACTATTGTTTTGCTCGGTCTTTGCTGGGATAACAGAGATGAAGAGAGTGTAGAGTGTATGCGAGTGCATTCGACATACTCACACAGTCGGTATATTCGGCATGTTCGTGTACAATGGCAACCTTGACACTTGGTGATCGTTTTTGGCGGCTTCGTCCCGCTCCTACTGAAATCGTGTTTGGTAGGATTGCGCGTCGCGAGTGAAAGCGGTGGTGGCCATTCTGTAAAATCTCTCTTTCGAGGAGTTTGGCAGTATCGGAGTCGGTAAAATATTCGTCGCGCTTCACGCTACGGATATTATTTCGTTTTCTCCAGTTTCTTTCCGCGATTGGAAATTCGCCGTGTTTGTAGCACCCAGTGTGAAATACTATTGTTCGGTAAAATAAAAAGAAATATATAAACGCGACAAGCCACAACAAATATCTTGCGCGTTTATCGAGAATCGAGGGAAATAAACAGTTAAGGTTAGACAACCGTGAAATTATAATAGAGATTGTACTACGTTTAAGTAAGATATGTATTTTAAGGAAATTCTACTCGTTCCAAGAAATTTGTGCCCATTAATTTTCTCTCGTATGATATTTCTATATTGTACGGTTTGATGACCTGATTCTTTTTTTTTGTTTAAGCATCAACAATGAAAACAAACTATGCTATATAACTGTCTCAACATGTGTCTATGTGAATGTGAACTGCATGTACGTGCAAACATATGTGAAGGCTAAATGATTCTTATTTTCAAGCGAATTTAAGAAAGAACGATTCGTTTAAATCTTGCAAAAGAAGGAAAAACGGAATTTCTTTGCCGGAATTACGCAGGAATTATCCGACACGATATTGCGAGACTTTTTTCCTTTCATCCACGCTTTAGATAGGAAAGTCGGAACAAACCGAGATTTTAAACTATTTTATCTATGAAAGTATTTTTATAAAGATAGTCACTTGTTTATGCGTTGATTGCGTATTAATATGAAATGCTGCTTGTTTACATTACATACATTTATATTTTATATAAAATCCACGTTCGAAAAATAAATAATGAATTGATTCGTATATTTACGATTAATATGAATCTGTTACTTCTTATATGCGCAGAATTTTGTAAAAAAGTTCCACATTAAATAACGAGTTAATTTATAAAATACTGTAGTCGAACGAAATAAAAATTAATGATATTGCGCTATCAAGTCGGACAATTTCTTTCAGAAATATATTATTAGCTGCATGCATACAGAACGCAAATGCTTTAGTTCTGTTTGAACTTATAACCCACTGTTAAATTGTTGAAATCTTTTTGTAGATGTGAATCTTAAATACACGTTTACCGAAAACAATACAAAAAAACAAATTTCGTGTGACTTCTATATTTGCATGTAGATGATTATTGTCACATATGACAAATTGTTATCATCACGGAAGATGCATCTTACATAGTGTTACATACAAAACTGTTACATAGTGTATAGACACGGTCGTGAAGTTTGTACACACAAAAGAGAAAAAAAAAACAATGTTCGTGTGAGACCTGTAACAGTGTGCGTCTATTCTGCATATCATAAATCGAATACTACTTCTATAAAAACAGGTGAGTTTTCAAATTGTATAATGGTAATAATATGTTTAATCGTATACATGTTTAAACGTATGCGTGCGTCGAAACTTACTATACGAATATAACTACGAATATTCATGAAAAAAAAATAAGGTCCCGATTTCAAAAATTAATAAATATAAATTTTGTACGATTTTATTTTTTTATTTTGAGTAATTTATCTAAGAATTATGCTCATCTTAATATCATGAAATAAATAAAAATTGTTGAACAAAAACATAAATGATTTTAATAAATCGTTTACCAAGTAAGCCTTACTATTAATCTGTTTTTTAAATATCATTTAATTAAGAATTTACAAATTGGAAAAACATTCAATTTTTGGCTATTTTAATTTAATAGTTCTCTTGACATGGTAAATAACGTAGAACTTCGAAATTTTGATTAAGATATATAATGATTTTGCGATAATATATCTTATATATTATATATAAACAATATTGGTGATTATAAAAGAATCTTCACACAATAAATGAATTGAATATATATTGAATATAAATATGTATATAAATCAATTAAATATATATTAATAAATAAAAATAAATATTAATGTATATCTCTTTAAATTAATATAATTAAAACTAATGGGATCATTAGAGTGTTAAGTTCTTGAATTTGATCATATATTAACTATATACAATTACAAAATGAAACTAATAACATAAAATATATGTGTTAAATACTACAATGATACTTTATTAATTTTATTAGATAACTTTTATTACATTAAAGATATAAATTGTTTAACATTCAAAATCAATTATGAAATATAATTATGAAAACTATATAATATAAATGTCAATTTGACAGATTGTATATTCAAAGCACAAAAGAGTATAAAACTAATCAACACTTTATAATAGGAAGTAAAATAACTATTAAATAAATATTTCAAATAATTGAATATACTTCAATATAATATTGTATATATTATACATATTAGTATAATATAATATTTCATTATAATAAATATTTTGCATTTACATATCATATAGAACATGTAGAAAATTTTATTATTACAATATAATGTTAATGAAATTTATTGAATGTATTTGATGCCTTCTTTATATGAATATAAATTACAATTTTTAAAAAAATGTTGTAAATTTATTCTACAGGTTTCAGTGTAATGAATCTAGAAAGAATAAATGCAACTAACAATGTGCCTGCTACAAAGCAGGCAACAAAAATATACCATGTTTCTTCATCAAATAAGTCAGTAAAAGCTGGAACTTTATTATAAAGAGTATCAATAAGTTTCATATTATAATTTTTACTGTTTATAGTGTGACTTGCCATTTTAGAACTAAATTACTTTTTTTTTTATTGTAAAATTCAAATTTTTTTTAAAAGTAGATTATCAATAAAAAAATGATGAAGCTAGGAAGCTTTTCTTTGTTAAAAAAAAGGATTAGTTGTTTATAAACTTGTACATATGCAATTGAAAAAATTTATACAATATTAAAAAGAAAAATTAAATAAGATTTTTATAACTTGATTCTCCTTTCTTATTTTATAGATAGATGTTAAAGAAAGAATCAGTGTAATTTTTATGACTAAGATTTTTTTATGAATTGACAATGTAGGTTTAATTTTTTGTGATGATTTACAAACAAAGTGAAAGATCAAAATTGGGCTGTTTTAAATAAATGATAAAATTAATTCTGACATGTATATCTAAGAGTTTATTTTTTAACTTATGTTTGCATTTATATTCAATATTTTTTTTGATATCTCATAATCAAATTGCCAATAAATTTATAAGAATAGTCCTCTACGTTTATTTCCTGGTTTAATTTTAAATGGCCTCTTCTTTTTCCGTTTTTTCTTTTCGTCTTCAGGTTCAGCTTCAGAATCACGTGGTGACAAAGGTGTTATATGTTTATTGTAAAGTTCCAAAATGTTTAAAGTTGTCAAATTTTCAGCTTTGCATACTATTTTATCACCGGATACTAAAAGATACAAATGCAAGAATAGGATATAAAACATATTTTGAGTAAGCTTTTTTAAAATTTACTTGCAATTTTAATTATTGTACTTAATTTAACATTAGTAGTATATTTATATTCACTTTCAAAATATCACATGAATATATTTTAGTTCCAGATAAAGCTAAGAACTTTTAAAGTCACATCTTTATATTAAAGATAAAACAGTGTAAACTATTGATTAAGTACATTTAAATGAAAGAATGTTATAATACTCACATAAATTAAATGTAATAGTGGGTTCAGATAAATCAGAGACAATATGCGGTTTTACATTGCAACGTGGATTTGTTGCAATAATCTTTGGAGTTGTAATTTGAAATAAAAAGTTTCTGTAAATATAACACATGCTCATTATAATCTGTAATATTAGATTATTAAATTATTTTAAATTTAGCTTTATATTTATAATTGCAATTGTATGATGGTTTTTTCTTATCATTTATTATTTTTTAATCAATGATTGTTATATCTTTTACTTTACTTGTTTGTAACATTTTCAGGAAAAATGGCACAAATGAAACAACAATTACCACTTCAAATGCCAGATTTAAGTAGTCTTCGCATAACTACAGCTGTTTCCATGCTTGGTAAAGCATATGGATGTGGACAATGTAGCGGTAAGTTTTTATTTTCGCAATTACAAAAAAATTTTTTTAAATAAAAAGAAGCATATATTTTATGACAAGTTTAGATGATATACATTACACAGATATACTTTATAAATACTTTATAAAGATTTTTATAACATTACTGAAATATAATATAAATTCAGGTTTTAGATATTTAAAAATATAAAATTTAATTTTAAATATTTTATATACAAGAATTTAAAATGAATAATTAAACAAAATATAGATCTTTCATTTTAATTAAACTGTTTATTATAAAATTGTTTTCTCTAAGACAGTAAGGCAAGATTAAAGGTAACTAGAAATTGTTTTAACTATTAATATATGAATTCAAAAATGAAAATATTGTAAAAAGAATTATAAAAAGAATTGAAAATATTGTGAACTAGTAGTAGCTATAAAAAATAGTTTTCTTGTAAGATTTTACATTAAAATCCTTTTAATGTTATATTAAATTCTATCTTATTTGAAGGTAATAATAATATTATAACACATACATTTTGAAAAAATAGGTAATTATGTCAGTTAATGCTCACAAATATAAAATATTACCATTGAGATATTATATATAATAGAAATAATAAAAAAAGAGTATGTAAGAATAAAAATAGCCTATAATTCAAATATATTTTTAGACATCATTTAAATTCAGTTTTAAATAGATTAAAGATCACAAAGATTCAGTTTTAAAGTGATGACGACAAGAAGACAAATGATGAATCTTAACACAGTTAATTATTAAAAACTATATATCAAAAATATGTAGTTATCAAAAAGATCATAAAATAAAAAAAGTGATTGTAAGTCAATTATAAATTAATTAATTATTTAGCTAAATGTCTTAAAATTAAATGAATAAAAACAATAATAAATACAAATATTTATCATATATATTATATATATTCTAGTATAAAGAAAATTTGCTTTTTTTTCAAAATTTAGTTATCAACGTTATAAAAAAATGTAAAAATTAATAATGATATAATAATAAATTTCATCGTCACCTTTAGTTTCTACAATAGCTGCAACACCGTGTATAATCGCGTATGAAAATCAACTAACTTTTTAAATTATATAATAAGAAATTGTATCACACATATATCACAACATTCAATTTCAGTATTTTGTAGATTACTAATTTTCATATCCACGCTTTTACTACATTGCTGTAGCAACATTAATCATTGAAAGTTTTCTAAAAATACTAACGTCGTCTGCTAGTTACTAGAAACTTCGTATTGCACATGCGCACAATATTGACGCCATTAAATCAACCAAACCTCTTAAAAGCAGAAACGAAATGTAATCGTTATTTAGACAATATTTCTAATTTCGAAAAAATATTGTTATTATTATTTTCAAAACTTTTGTTGTTTCATTTTAAGTAAAATATAGGAATCAAGTGCCAGTACTAACAAATTATATTATAAAAATAGTATTTGGCTTAAAATGTATCAATAAAATTATTCGCATTTTATGGATAAAAGAATTTATGTCTATATTTATATACTATCTATTGCTTATTATATACTATCTAATTCAAAGGAGTGTTACACATTACGATCAAATTCTAGTAAAATATATACAAGAAATGAAAATTGGTTGAACTAACCTTGCTTCCAAGGCCTTACTATGAAATGGATCAAACTTTATGTCGATTGATTTAACTGGTTTTAAGGTTAAATTTCTCAAGTGCTTTGCAATTGCGCTTATTAATCCAGCTGACCGCGTACGAGTCCCGTTGAATGGAATCGACATTTTAGAAATCGAGCACGCAATCGCATGCAGTATGTATGTACCGATAGTTACATTCTAGGGGAAATAGTTTTGATTGCAGTGCAACCAATACAACTAAAATTTATTTATCACCAAATTATAAGAAAATAAATGCAAAGAAAAATAAGTAGAAAACAACTTCGTATTACTTTATATTATTTCAAATATTATCTTTATTAATTGTTTTACGAAAATAGTATATGAAATATTACTAACATTCTTTACGTATTATTGATGCTGTATAAATTTCTTATACACTATGTATATATATTTTTGGAATATTTATTAACGTGTCTACTCAGATATGAAAAATTAAAATAATTTAGAAAAGAATGACAACGCCGAGAGCTATTAACTGTTGTTTTATTATTCACACGCTGATTGGTCAAGATAAGATCAATCGGAATCAAGTTGGTGGCAGCCATTGCAGGAGACAGTCTCGTTCGCAGTGTGTATTGTGGAGAAGTGTGTTGTGTGGTCAGTGGGTTTTGTGTTGAATTTTTTACTTATTTATTAGTGGTTATCTGGTCTTTTTCACCGTCAGCTGCCAAAATGTATCCTGTAGGGCAGCGTGAGTATTATAACGCGTTTGTTTTTCTTTATAATATCTCAAAATATTTCAAAAATAGCCTTTTCTGTATTTCTAAGCAAGAACAGGATTTCATTGTTTGACTAGATCTGATCCTTTGTTCCTGTTTGGTTATCCCAAACTGACGAGAATTATTTTGACACACGCGTATGCTAATCAAAATCACTCACGGCAATGGATTAAGGTTTAAGAAATCGAGGAAAATTTAAAATATGACCTCGAGTGAACCTCGTTCAACAGGCACAATGTGTCGTCACTTTGATCCGTCAATGCACGGATAACATACAAGTACATACGTATATGTGTCTAATACTGATGATTTTTATTATTTATAATATGTTAAATGTATTATTTTAAGTACAATAATTCCAATAAAAAATGAAGGTCTCAATTTTTTTTATTGATGTACATACACTTTTAAACATCCACCATTACTTTGTATATTTTAGATTTTATGAACTTGTAAGACTTAAATAAAATGTGTATAAAACTGTAATTTTTTAAATATTTTCTGCTTGTATAATATTATATTACATTTTTAATTTATAATATACTTGCGTGATTAAACATTATGAATATTTAATGTAACAAGAAAAGAGTCAATGAAATCATATTGAATTAGAAAATAATATGATAATATTGTATTGATGTTGAAAAATTATAAAATAATAAATAATAATAAAGTAAATTCTTAATGTAAATTACAAATCTATCTATTGCATATGTACATGTATTGTGATATGCTTGTGATATGCAGAATATTGCTTGCAATTATTCTTTACTTGTAATTATTGTGTAAAGAAAAAAACCATATACATATAGGATGAGTCAATAAGAGCATTTATGAAATAACTTGTTTTCTGATTTTACAAGAAAATGTTTGAAATAAAATTGTGCAGGTTAATTAGATGAATATATTTTAATTTTTGGATAATTTATATTTGAGTTTTTTTAAATGAGATTATATACTTTTTGATCCATTAGTTGATACAGTTCAATATTCTAAAAAATAAATAAAAAAATACTAATTTATGTATGTTGAGAAATTATTAGTTTAGGAGATATTTTAACTTAAATTTTATAAAATCTATCATAGAAAAGATAAGGGCAATATTTTTGTGTTCATATTGTTTTTTGTTTTATAAATATTTCTTTGCAACATTATGAGTTTATTATATAATATTTCCCAGTTGAAATACAAAAACTTATTAGTTCATTTTTTCTTCCATTAAATATAAAAAATTAAATTGAAGTATATTGCAAATATAAACATGATATTAATTAAATGTTTAATTAACTTAAGATTTAATAAAAATTCAAGATTAACTATAACAGATACTGCTATATTAAAATTTCTATTTATTATTTTGTGTGTGTGTGTGTGTGTGTGTGTGTGTGTGTGTTATTTAATTACTATTTTTGTATTATATGTACCATATTTTTATGTTATAATTTATAATAATCTATTTTATTTCAGCTCCCCCACCTGGACCCACAACAAGTTCTTCTGTTGGAGCAGCTGGAGCAACTGGAAGCAGTGTTGTAGCTCCTAGTTCTTTAGGACTTGTTTCCACACAACAAACACACACTCCTCCTCAACCTCCTGAACTGCCAAGTAAGTTATATATAATAAGAAAAAAGTATATGACATCGACATGATGGTGTATACTTTTCATACATTATTTTATTAAAAGTTATTTACATTAGACTATTTAATAATAATTTTTTAATTAACAATAAATGCATTTTGTTTTTATTGCTAATTTCCATATATTTCCATATATGGATAAAAAAACTCAAATATAAATTATCCAAAAATAAATATACAATTTAATTTAAAAGATTATACATATATTGAAATAATAATTTAAAAAGAAATTCAAATATAACTACTAAGTTTCTCTCAGTTAAATGAATTATATATGAAAGATATTTATATCTTTAATAACCAGGGAAAGTATCTTGTATGTATTTAATCAGTTATATATTATAATATCAGTTATATATTATATAATAACATGTTATATATTATAATAATATAATTCATATTCATATTAATGTCCATAATTCATAACAATTGTTATATTTTTCCTTTTTCATTTTAAATAATAAGAAATATGACATAATATAATGCTATTATATTTAAATTTGATTAGATTTTGAAAAGTAAGCCAATGTTATGAATATTTTGAAATAATAATATTTTGAAATAATAATTTAAAATTCATATAATTACAGTGTTTTCATGTCCTCGGAGACCAAATATAGGACGTGAAGGCAGGCCAATTGTCTTAAGAGCTAATCACTTCCAAATAACAATGCCACGTGGTTATGTGCACCATTATGATATTAATATTCAACCTGATAAATGTCCTCGTAAAGTTAATAGAGAAATAATTGAAACAATGGTTCATGCATATAGTAAAATATTTGGAACTCTTAAGCCTGTATTCGATGGCAGAAATAATTTATATACAAGGGACCCCTTGCCTATTGGTACTGATAAAATAGAATTAGAGGCAAGTATAATATATTTATAGTAAGTAGATCTCCTATAACATGAAAGATATGTTCAGCGTTATATGGGCCGAAAACGCAAAATTTTTTGATATAATAGAAAGTGATAAAAAACCGTTAAATAAAAAATTAAGCGAAACTTCCCATTAGAATTGTTTAAAATTAAATTTAAATTTATTTGCTTTTGTATTTGAAATCGCATTTGGAAAGTAAATACAACGAAAGTAAAACAATTTTTTGATTGTATTATATGGGATATCACTGTATTTTTCTTTTTTTTTTTTAAATTCTATTTTCTACTTATATATGTATTTTTAGGTAACACTGCCTGGTGAGGGTAAAGATAGAGTTTTCAGAGTGGTAATAAAATGGGTGGCTCAAGTTTCATTGTTTGCTTTAGAAGAAGCTTTAGAAGGACGTACTAGACAAATTCCATATGATGCTATACTTGCTTTAGATGTTGTAATGAGGCATTTACCATCTATGACATATACTCCAGTAGGTAGATCATTCTTTAGTACACCAGATGGATATTATCATCCATTAGGTGGTGGTAGAGAAGTTTGGTTTGGCTTTCATCAATCTGTTAGGCCATCTCAATGGAAAATGATGCTAAATATTGATGGTAAATATATAAATTACGCAAATATAAAATAAATGTTATATTCATTACTTACATATTTGTATATTTATATTATAGTTTCTGCAACTGCATTTTATAAAGCACAACCTGTCATAGAATTTATGTGTGAAGTATTAGACATTCGGGACATAGGTGATCAAAAGAGACCTTTAACAGATTCTCAACGAGTTAAATTTACCAAAGAAATTAAAGGACTTAAAATTGAAATCACACACTGTGGGACGATGAGGCGAAAATACAGAGTGTGTAATGTTACGCGTAAACCTGCTCAAATGCAATCGTAAGTATGCATAAGAACAATCATAAT